TCTCTTTTGCAAAAATTGACAAGTGAATCCTAAAATTCATATGGAAATCCAAGGGACCTTGAATAGACAAAATAATCTTGAAGGAAAAAAAAACACAAAGTTGGAGGATGTACACTTTCCAATTTTAAAACATGCCACAAAGTTTCATTAGTCAAGACAGTGTGACACTAGGGTGAGGATAAAGTCAGAAACAAATCTTTAAATTTATGCTTAATTTATTTTTAACATGAATGGCAGAACAATTGAAAATAATTTTTTAAATTAATTTTAGAGAGAGAGGAAGGAAGAGGGAGGGAGAGATAGAAACATTGATGAGAGAGAACATTGATTGGCTGCCTCCTGCATGCCCCCTACTGGGGACCTGGCCCACAACCTGGGCATGTGCCCTGGCTGGGAATTGAACTGGCCACTTCTTGGTGTGTCGGTCGTCGCTCAATCACTGAGCCACACTGGACAGGTGAGTAGCAGGACAATTGGGGGAAAAGAGTCATTTCAGCAAATGGTGTTGGGACAACAGAATATCCATATGCAAAAGCATAAAGTTGGATAGCTACCCATGCTGTATACAAACATTAACTCAAAATGGATCACAGACTAAATTTAAGCATGATAACTATAGAACTCTTTGAAAAAAATGCAAGTGTAAATCTTCATGGCTTAGAATTGGGCAAAGGTTTCTCAGCTATGACATCAAAAGCTCAATTAACCCAGCCCCTGTGGCTCAGTGGATTGAGCATCATCCCATGGACTAAGAGGTCCCAATTCGATTCTTGGTCAGGGCACATGCCTGGGTTTCAGGCTCGATCCCCAGTAGTGAGTGTGCAGGAGGCAGTAGATTGATGTTTCTCTCTCATCAATGTTTCTATCTCTCTCCCCAAAAAGTCAATTAAAAAACATTAAAAAAAAAAAAAAAAAAGCTCAATGAAAATATATATGGGTAATTTAGATCTCATTAAGATTTTAAAACTTTTGTGTTTCAAAGAACATCATTGAGAGATAAAAAGATAATCTACAGAATGTGAGAGAATATTTGTAAATCATATATCTGATTCAGAAATTTTATTCAGAGTATGTAAAGAACTCTTACTATTCAACAATAAAATGAAAAATAAACCAATTAAACATAGAAAAAGGATTTGAATAAATATTTTTCTAAAAAAGTTATACATATGGACAATAAAGTAAAAAGATGTTTTCTATCATCAGTCATTAAGAAAATGCAAGTTAAAATCAGAATGAGATACAGCTTCATATCCACCATGATAGAGATAATAAAAAGACAGTAACAAGTCTCATAAAATATGTGGAAAAATTGGAACCCTCATGCAGTGCTGGTGGAATATAGAATGGTGTAGCTACTTTGGAAAACATTTGCAGTTCCTGAAAGAGTGAAACATAGAGTCACCGTCAGACCCAGCAATTTTACTTCTAGATATATACCCAAGAGAATTGAAAACATAGACTTATGTAAAACTTGTACATGAATGTTTATAGCTGCATTATTCATAATAGCCAATAAAGGGGAAAAAAACCCACAAATGTGGATCAACTGATGAATGTGATTTATCCCTATGCTACAATATTATTTGGCAATAAAAAGAAAATACTAATACATGCTACAACATGAATCAACCTTTAAAGCATTATGCTAAATTAAAAAGCAGACACAAAAGCCCACATATGGTATGATACCATTTATTTGCAATGTCTGGAGTGGGCAAAACTGTAGAGGCAGGAAGTAGACTAGTGTCTGCCAGGGGCTGAGGTAGGCAGAAAGGGGGAGTGATAGCTCATCCACGTGGAGTTGCTTTTTTTGGGGGTGGGTGGGGTGGAATGATAAAAGTATTCTGGAGTTAGACAGTGGTGATGATTATACATACACATTTACTCTGTGACTACACTAAAACCTATTGAAATGTAGACTTCAGGGTATATTTTATATTACATGAATTCTAGCGAAATTTAAAAAAAATTAAAATTGCTCTTTTGCAAGCATGCAAAGGGAAAGAGGAAAAAAAAAAAAAAAAAAACAACCCAGAATTTTAAAGCCCTTTAGTGTTGGGAAAGTTGATTACTTCTAGATACTAATTAGAAAAATAAAATAAAATTGAGAAGGATTTTGAGAGAATTAAGACTCAGATTTTCAGTCAAGATTAAATTAAGATGTAATGCTTACCCACCTAAGTTTATTTCCAAACAGTATAAAAAAATCTACAGTTGAGAAAGAAAGGGATTAGAAAAAGGGAGCAGATAAATAAGGTAAGCATAAGAATTTTTTTGGGGAAAGAAATTTAGGTACAGTAATTAGCATGTAGAACTGACTGGAAACAAATGGAAGTTTACAAACTTTTCTGGAAATCTTATCCCCAAAGTAACCACAGCCTAGATCTCAAACAAACAAACCAAAATATGTTTCCAAGAGCCTTAAAAATCACACTTGGTTAGAAAGTGAGCTACAAAAGTGACCTAATTAAGGAGAGACAATCCACAGAGCACATTTTAGATTTGATCATGTAAAAGGAATAATCCTACCAATGGTGGAATTATGAATAAAAAAGGAAAAACAAGTTCCTTCCATTGATTAAAATCAAAACCTTAACACAGAATTTCTATCACTTCTGGATGTTGAAATGGGAGAAGAGTATACCTTCCCAATGCCCTCCCAGCTGTCTTTCAGGAAACTAGGGCCTTGTGACTGCCATTTGTCTTTTATTGTTTTCTCTTGCATACGGCAGTTTCAATTTAGTTTTTCAAGATCTCATCACTGGATGCCGAGTCACAAGAAAAAATGGTTCAATTGTTTATTTTCTGTATTGCTAAGCCAATAGGAGCCATAGAAAGACATGATAGAATTTCATGTCATCAAAGCTGGGTCGGCCTATGGGGTTGTTCCCTGGGGAACTGTGTTCTGTTTATGAGACAAAAAGAGTAAATGGATAGTTGAGGACCAGAAGGGTAAGTGGTGGCCAAGATTAAAGAGCTCACCAACATCTGAGTGTTCTTATTTCTGGCCATACCAATCAATTACATTTTTGACTGTGAGGAAAATAGGGCCATGTGATCAAGTTCTACTCAAGACAATAAGAAAAGAAAGGATTTATGTCATCCCTGACTCCAAGTGGAAAAGAGCACGGGGTCTTCTCCATGCTCAGTCTACTTTCCTGTTTTTGTACCCTAATGCAGAGGACAAGGCACTTGATGATGGTGAGGCCATTTGAGGAAAGGAACCTGGCTCCCTTTATGACTGCATGGAGCAAAGACCTTGCCAACCCACAATGGACTTGGACACAAGTAAAAATAACTTGTATTAAACTGAGCCAAAAAAATGTAAGGGGTATTTGTTACAGCAGCTAGTTTATGTTGACTAATAAATTATATGATTAGGACACATTATTTTTCTGTTTGTTTGACTAACCCTACTAACCCTAATAATCAGAATAATAATAATCCATTATTCTGATGCTAGGTGGCACTGTTTGCTTTGATGTGATAGTGGATCTTATCTACTGATTAAACAAGAAGACAGATTAATAAGACTTAGGGTAAACATTTTTCTTTTTTTCTTTATCCCTTCAATTGTTTGGATGAGACCCACCCGCATTATCAAAGGTAAAGTTTTTTTTTTTGTTTGTTTGTTTTTTGTTAATCCTCAATCGAGGATATTTTTCCATTGATTTTTAGATAGAGTGAAAGGGAGGGGAGGAGAGAGAAAGAGAGAGAGAGACATCAATGTGAGAGAGACACATTGATAGGTTACCTCCTGCACGACCCTGATGGGGGCTGGGGATCAAACCTGCAACCCAGATACATGCCCTTGACTGGGAATCTAACCCATGACACTTTGGTCTGTGGGCTGACGTTCTAACTTCTGAGCCAAACCAGCCAGGGCTAGGGTAAACATCTTTCAAATAGACTTTAAAGAATACAGTCAGGTAAAAAGTTAGGATCAAAACTATCGCAATTGCTTGTGTTATAACTAATGCTCATGGTTTTCTCATCATTTCATTTTACAACCTAAGGAAAAATATGTTTTTTTATGCCACTGCAGGAAAATTTGCCTTGTCACCCAGGAATATAAAAAGAAACATACTTTTGATGTAAATATGAATATACACACATCTATATGACTACATGGTTGACAATTCTACCATGATTCATTTCACGGTAAACATTTCTACACCCTAGGAAGACAGAGAGGTGGGCTTTCCAGCCCTCACTTCCTGTGGCCCCTGCAGCACTACGTGTGAAGTGAACAGTTTGCATCGTGGGGATGCAGTAGATGAGCTCTCGTGTGTTACCCTGGGAAACTCCCAATGTAGCATGCATGGGTGTGCATGTATGCCTGTATGAAGGGTCATGTGGGGAGTGAAGTACACCCCTCTAGATGACTGCCAATGCATAAGGTAGGCACTGTGACTCTCCACTCCCTTCCTGGCAGAGTGGGCACTCAGTGAAGGGGAGAATGGACTGAGATAAATATGGAGGCTGTGAGTCCTTGTGTGTGTTTGAGAAACTGAGTCACAGGGATCAGAAAGAAAATGAGGGAGGAGAAGCAGATTCACATATGTAAGAACAACATCTCCTGAAATGAATGGACATTGGCTGGATAAGTCAGCCATCTGAAAGCCAGGATGATGGGCGGGGCACCCAGGGTGAGAGGCAGAAGCAGAGCCAGTGCAGGCAGCGCCAACTAGACTGCAGTGTGACTCACTGAGTTGCAAGAAGAGAGCCCTGCTCCAGCCTCGGGCGCCCAAGGAACAGCCTCTGGGTGGCATTGTACAAGCTCCCATTGCCAGCCCAAGAAAAGTCATTGGGGGAAATCTCCACCCACCTAGTACCAGCATCCAAAGACTCTGAATGAAGCCTCTCCTCACCAACCTGTCTGTGAACAGGTCCTATTTCACAAGGAAAAGGAATGAAGACACTGAGTCAGACCACGACACACACACTCAGGAGTGAAATTGAAAGTGCATTTAATGGGGGAAGAACAGAGCTGGTCCACATGTTTTCACCTTAAGTCCCTCTTCAGAGGAATCCTGAGCAGCTGAAAACGAAGGTTCTAAGGTGTTAAGACCCTCAACCTCATTCAGAAGCTCAGAGGCCCAGAGTGTTTGGGAAGGAAGCTTCATAGCACGTATTTCTAGGGTGAAATGAGGGAGGATTGTGACAGCATGCTGAATGCAAGGCAAAGGGGACTCCAGCAGAATGGAGAGGGGATTCAGCATTTGGTGGTTGGTTCCTCAAGCACACGGACCACCTCACTTCTGCTTGGTCTGCTGAACTGGGGCCGGAATGACTGTTGAAGGACATGGCTCTGGCACTGCGGGTTGACACGGCACTGGAACCTTGGGTTGGCAGGGCTCAGGAACCTTGGGTTGGCAAGGCTCTGGAACCTTGGGGTGACATGGCTCAGGAACCTTGGGTTGGCAGGGCTCTGGAACCTTGGGGTGACATGGCTCAGGAACCTTGGGTTGGCAGGGCTCAGGAACCTTGGGGTGGCATGGCTCAGGAACCTTGGGTTGGCAGGGCTCTGGAACCTTGGGTTGGCAGGGCTCCTTGGTTTGGGGGACACATGGTTCCTGGGCTGGGGGCTGGCAGGGCTGCTTCACCTGCTGCTGCTGCAGCTGAGGGGGTGCGGTGCAGGGCTGCTTCTGCTGGTGGGAACTCATGGTTCAAAGGAGGCTGGACCTAGAGACAGAACAGATGGTGAAACAGGGATCAACTTGGGAAGAAGCCAGTTCAGGTCTCCTAAGAAGCAAATGTTCTCTTTCTCTCTGTACCACTAAGAACAACTCGATAATCTCTGAGCCTTTGAACAGGGGCAATGAAAGATAATTTGCTCTACTCTACTCAGGCCTCTCCCAGTGCTCTCTGTCTTCCTGGCACATCTTAAACCCCAGTTAACAACACAACACAACACAACACAACACAACACAACACAACACAACACACAACCACAGGCTCCTGGAAGAAATGTGAGAGCACAATATTGGATCACATGGAAATGTGATGCTATTATTTGGGGAAAAAAAAAGAAAAACCCAGTAACTTCAGCCCACCCACACATTTCTGATAATAGAAAGGTGTATCACCTATAAGATCACTACTGATTTCTCCAGAGCCCCACATGATCCCTCCTCTAGCCTCGCTCACACCCTACTCTGCCTCTACTGTTTCCTTCAATCTACTCGTTCAAATACTGCCCAACCACCATGGCTCACAGATGGCCTAAAATGGTACCTTTGGGAGGAATTGCTAGAGCTAACCTTCTAGAAATCACCCCTGTCCCCAAAGTGCACAGCACTTTGCTTGTCCTTACTGCTTTATGCGGGTGACTTTCTACATGGTACTTTAACTTTCTTGTCCACGTCTTATTTATTTATTTATTTTTGTATAAATTGTAGTTTCATGGAATAAATTCTCTATTGTCTAAATATTTTTTTTAGCAAAGTACCAACATAATAAATTCTCATAAAACAATCTGGTGAAGGAATAAAATTCTCTGTATTAAGGTTATAAATAAAGAAATAATTATAATGTCACTATAAGTTCTACGAACTGTAAGTTAGCAAGTTAGCAGGAATTCTCCTGCTGACTGGAGGTCTTACATTAGCCCATCCTCTTCTCGCTGACAACAAAAACTGATGGGACAGAATTGATGACGCCTTACATCCATCTCCTCAAGCGCAAACTATGATTACTTTTACAACAGAGCTATTCCTAGAGCTTGTAACTCTGATAACTGAACTTCAATAGTGGAGGGAAAGATAGCAAGAGTACCAAGGAGGTCCCCCCACCAAAAACGAAAATACCTTAAGTAAAGGGTAAAACGTTCCAAGGAAAGAGAGTCGCCTGGTGTGCAGAGCAGAGCAGGCTGTGTGGTCACTCAGATCTGGTGTAGTGTCCCAGTTAACTAGCTTTTTATAGTGATCGAAACCTGTCTCAAGGAAATGGGAATTTTTTTTTGGAACTGCTATGTCTTAATTCTCTGCCTGCGAAACATGATTCACTCCAGTCGCCTCATCTACCTGTTGGTTCAGTTTTTGCGGTGAACCACCCACTTGACATTTTTTTGGCACTTGCTGTCTGACAATGATGTCATCTGGGCTTTAGTCCCACTGAGGGTCCTTTACACCCAAAGGGAGCGTTTAAGGTGAGGATGGTGTGTGCTAAAAGATAAGAGGAAGGAGAAGTACCAGGGTTGCTGGACCCAGAAACAGCCCTGTTTCCTGGGGCCCTAATCCTTGGCACAGACCAGGCCTGGTGAGCTGCTTAGTACTGGAAGTGGATGTGGAAATAAATAGTTGTTTCTGGTTCTCCTGGAAGGCCAACAGCTTGGTGGCATGAACTTTTCCAGGTGGAAAAACGTAATAGTTTCATTTATACATTCCTAAGTGTACCCAGGTCTGGGAGGGGAGAGGCAAGGCTCAAATGTTTCTTTGGGCCCTAAAAATCCTTCACAATAGAAGATAGGACATGGGGACCCCGATCAGTGATGGGGACCCCAATCAGTGGAAACCTGGAAAAGACAATCAGGTTCAGCAGCCCCAAGGAACCCGGTCCTTTTACCCATCCACTTGTTCTGTCTAATGTGCCAGTGGACCCTAAAGACACTGTCTCCCATGGGGATCCCTTCCTGGGGGAAACACAGGGACATGGGGCCTGGGACTCCTTGATCCTTTATAGCAAGATAAAATGGAAATGAGGTCACTAATCCAGGCCCACTTTAATACACTATCTATTACAAGCTGGGGTCTTTGGAAAATCCAAATCAATCTTCAAACCCAAGTGTTTAACTTTGCTCACCTAAATGTTGTGGATTGCCTGCTGGTTCCACAACTGGGTCACCTCCCCTGAACTGGAGCCCAGGATCAGCCAGCCACCACCAGGAGCTTATCCCACTGGCCTCCTAGTGATTATTCTATTCTCCATCCCTGCTCAGTTTTTGGTGTGTAGTCATTGCTCAGTGGAATGACAGTTACAGAACAGATGAATGAATCAATGTCGTTATTTGTTATGAGACACCAGGGGCTGCTTTGAGAATATCGAGGACGTTTCTTATAAGAGAAACACTCCTTTGTGACAAGCCACACGGTGTGAGCTGAGATTAAGAGTAAGGGTTCAGCAGAAACAGATGTTTCTGCTACCATCACCACCCATCTGTTTCCCTTCTAGAGTTTAAGCAGCACTCCCCGCTGGGCTGGGCTGCTGCTACCACCGTGCTTGAGTTTAAGGTCTCTTGCTCAATGTAGCTCTCTTCTAGGTTTGCATATAAGCCTCTCCTCACCCAAACCCCATCTCTAAAGACCCTGCAAAGAAAATTCCAAGCATGCCTTGCTGCTAATCTGGTGGAATACTCAAACATAGGGCAACTTGCTTCTTGCTCTTGGTCCTCCATGGCACAGCCATGGATCTGGCTGACCTGATCTTCAGCTCTGAGGCTTTACTCCTGCCTCTCATGCCTTTCCTGGACCCACATCCTTGGTTATCAAGGGGTGGGGACTGCCATTCAATACTCTCTAATTTGACCTGATGCACCTATCTGACTTGTGCATCTTTTCCTCAAGCTAACACCTTTTCCTTTCTAGTATCTTAATTTATTCTTGACTCTACTGCATTTTTGTCTATAGTACAGTGAATAGTTGGGTATTACACCCTTTTACACTATGCACAGAAGCTCAGTTTCTTCACCTGTAATGCTGGATTGGCCAGTGAATTTGCTGGAAGCCATATATATGGCTTCTGATTGCTACTAACATCTCCCCACATACCTCTGACATTCACACTGATGCCCTCTGACATGTCAGAATGATAGGATGCTGCTAATTTTCTTATTGTGAAGCCTGACCTTTCTTAGTCTTACTAGTTAACTGTACTAGACTCCTGTTAATACACACCACCATGTGGCCCTCTCATTGTAGGCTTTGTGCAAGATCCTTCTTTTCCTTTCTGACCCAAAGCATCTATGACACGAATGTGCAAGGTACCCATAGAACAAGGCATTGCTGCGTGCGCAGTCCAGAAGTGTGGGAGAGTTAGCGCACATGGAGCCAGACTGGACAAATGCTGGTGAATGGGAGTGACAGGAGGCTATGGATAAACACTTCCTTCTGCCTTCTTCTCCAGGCAAAGAGTTCTACACTTCTCACTACATGAGAAAAAGCACAAAAACATCTTATTTTTCAGTTGCAAACCACAATCTGATTGCTCCAAAATAGATGTGAATCTCAAGAACTGAGGCTCAGCCACATGGGAGATTGCAGCCTTCAGGAGGGAGGTGGACCATCCTAAAGTTGAGCAGGATTAGTTACTTTTCAAGTGATCTGCAAGGACAAGTCAGGGAGTGTCAGGTAATGACATGCCCTAGATTCTCTCCACTGGAATGGGCTCAGCACTGGAGGACTTGTCTAACCTTGTAGTTTCAACAAATTGCTGTTCACAGAGGAACAGTTTGAGGAGTCTCCAACTCTAGATCAAAGGAACTCCTCCAATTCATTCATTTGACTGATTCTTGAGCTCCTACAATAAGCCAGGTTCTAGACACTTGGGGTTTGTCAATGAACACTAACAAAGACCTTTGACCTTGTGGACTTTATATACTATAGGGGAGGATGGAAATAAACAACAAAGAGACATGATGAATATATAAATTATGTAAATGCTATGAAAAAAGTAATACCTGTGTAAACAGTGGAGAGCACCAAAGAAGTGGGGGTCATGTGCCCTCACTGAGAGTGTGATGTTTTAACAGATTTGGGGAGGTGAAAAGTTAGGTATTAGGATATCTGTGCAAACAGTTCTAGGTCAAGAGAGTATCCGATGCAAATGCTCCAAGGCCAGAGCCTGCCTGGCATGTTCCAGCGACACTGTGGTTGAGGAGAGAGTAAGTTCAAGAGAGGCAAGGGCTACAGGAAAGTAAGTTTGTCCTCTACTTTCTCTTTCTGCTGTTAGCCATCACCGGTACAAGGACAGACCTTTCTTTTCCATGGCGCGTCTTCAGTCGGCAGCAGCAATCAGCTCAGAACAAGATGCACCAAGGAATGTTTCTTCAGGCACCCAAATGACACTTACATTCCATGGGCTTCCTTAAACATTTCTACTCTACAGAGGAAGGGTTACCTACAAGAGTGGATCAAAGTCACATAAGAGAAGCGTTTGAAGACAGGAAATGCTCTTTTAGCAGGCTTTAGTTTGTCATGTGTGATAAGAATACCAATGAGTTACTCTAATTTGGTAAATGTATACTTGGGATTTTTGCAAAAATATCTTCTGCTATAAAGTGATGTTAAAGAAATATATTAAGTAAATATTGCTGTACATGTATATGAGGTTGTGGTAAAATAGGGGTGCTGGTGTGAGAGTAATTGAATATTGGGGAAAACTACCCTAACATACCTTTTACTACTAACCAAATGGCACCTGTCTTATCTTCCTGGTTACAAAGGGCCCAGTGAAAGCTCTCTGTGGTTTCCTACCTTAAATCTTGGCCCAGAACTCACCACAGCCTCTTTCTTTGGTTATCAGCCAGTGGGGCAATTGTCCACATACCTGGTTTCACCACCCCCACATTGTGTATTTTCTTTTGTCTGTGTGTGTGTGTTTATCAGCAATATTAGCTTCATATGTGTTCAGAATAGAGGGCTCCTTGCATTACTGGACACTAGGACACCCCTGCTTTACTTTTCCTCCGCACCCACCTAAATGTCATTGTGTTAAACGTTCAGTTAGTAAAATTGTTAACTGTTACTTGAAAAGCAGACTATTTGCTCAATAAGCCCATATATATATGTATGAAGTGACTAGCCCATGCTGGGTAACTCAGCTGGTAGAAGCATTGTCCCCTACACCAAAAAGATTGCGGATTTGATTCCCATTCAGAGCACAGACCTAGGTTGTGGGTTCAGTCCCCTGTTGGGGTGCATATGAGAGGCAACTAATTGATGTTTCTCTCTCTTTTTTTCTCACTCTCTCTCTTTCTCTCTCCCTTCCTCTCTCTAAGATCAATAAACACATCCTTGGGTGAGGAATAAAAAAAAAAATGCAGAAATTTGGTGAATGTTAGCTACTATTGACTTCCTTTGGCAAAATATTAAGTTTGTGAAGGAAATGGGCCAATTTGCAATTAGAAAGAAAAGGAATTATTAGAGTACAGAAATTTGGTAGGAAAAGTTGACTACTTTTAAATCTGAACACAAAGACATGAAACTGAAGAAACAAAGGTCTTAAGACAAATGCCTGCAGCAAAGATGAGATTAAAGGAATAGTCTTCCTAACCATGCTATTCCAGAGAGCATTAGGGCAGTTGCAGTCCATGTAGAAAAAAGGAAAATGGGAGGAAAGAGGCAAATAAATTAGCATGGCTTGAGAATTAGGTCAGGAAAGCTCTTTGAATAGAGTTACTACCAAGGGGGTTGCCTGGAAAAAATCAGAAGTCTGCCAAATTTTTTATGGAACTGTTTTGCCTAAGAAACCATGAGCCCAGACTACAAAAGCTGTGTTTCAAAGAGCCTTAAAACTATATTAAATCAGAAAGAGCAGCGTAACCTGCACTGCACCAGAGAAAGACATACATCCACTTCCAGAGAGTCTAATGAGAAAGGAAGAACCCCCAGAAGCCAAGACTGCTTCTGGAGAGTGAAGCCCATGACATAGCAATGAACTGGTATCATCCCTGAGAAGAGGGTGGACTTCAGCATGCCTGCTCAGTGGTATTTTGGAATGCCTGTGGAATGATATTGGCTATCTCCTTTTCTTCTCCTTTTTCCATGGGGAAGTTTCTCCTGCAGTTATTCTGTCCCTGCTCCACAATTGCACATTGGAGTGTGGGAGGGGTGGAAGGACTGACCTTTGTATTTTCTCGTTTGCTGGATCAAGA